GGGGGGGGGGGGGAGGGGAATTTCTCAATATATAAGAGGAATAAGAGCCTTGTAACAAGAGGCAGACTCTGTAAAATTCACGAACCTTGAATGAAAAAGGATATTTACAATTCTCTTCTCTCTATTACTATTATCCAAGCGTTTATTATCTTCAGTCACGATTTACCCCTTCATCTTTGATTTATTTGTTCAAAAAGGCTTTAATATCTTTTGAGTCAAACAATCTGGCGCCATCTGTGGGGATTTCCATAGTTGAAATCATAGTTCTCATCTAGGTTCTTGAAAGTGATGACTACTGTTCTTCAAACCTCATAAAAACCAATAATGGCGGAAAAAGAAGCGAGGCTGAAGATGATAGCAGATGTCTCAAACAATCTCCTAAACTCCCTCAACGAAGCCGGTAGAGAAGACATCTAGAATACAACACCAAGAGTTACACCGGAGGGGGAGATCTCACCTTCTCCACACGGGGATCTAATGGTCTTGCGCGAAAGGGGAGCCTCAACGTCCACGGTGGGGGAAGCACCACCAGTAGTCAAAAAGCTGGTAGAAGAATGGTTGATAATCGCTCTGAGCAACATGCTCGAAAAACCCCTTCAAGGAAATGTCGAAGACTTACCACCTACAGAAATCGCAGCTACCACCAGCGAGCCAAGCACTACACGAACGGGCAACACCCGCCCTGTCACTGATGCAGATGACGATGCACTCATGGCCATCTTAAAGAAAATGGAAGAGATGGAAAACGAGAACAAAACACTCTGTGATCAAATGAAGGAGCATCAGGAAAGGGTTGATAAAATAGCAAGCGCCCCTAAGCTATTACCAAAACGCGATGTGGGCCGATTCGTCGAACAGCCATACAGCGACAGGGCTGCTCCTCATCATATTCCAAAAACCTTCAATATGCCACTACACTTGAAAATATACGATGGGACCACGGACCCGGAGGATCATCTAATCTATTATGTTACTGCAGTAAAGGACAACGATCTGTCAAAGGAACAAGTATCATATATGCTTCTAAAAAAGTTTGGTGAGACTTTGACAGGGGGAGCATTGACGTGGTACTCCCAGCTACTAGCACGATCAATATCAACATTTGAAGAAATAGCGGATAAATTCGCCACCGCTCATGTAGGGGCGAAGAAGGCTGAAGCTAGGGTCAATAATATCTTCGTCGTCAGGCAAACGACGGGCGAAGGACTTCGGGACTTCCTATCCTGATTCAACAGAATAAGGATGAGCCTTCCAAACGTGTCAGAAGGGATGGCAGTAGCAGCCTTTCAAAATGGGTTAAACAGGAACGGATCAAAGGCAACGAAAAAACTGCTCAGCATACTCATGATGTACCCCCCCCCCCAACCACCACATGGGAAGAGTTCCACAACGCCTATTGCACCGAGGTAAGGGCAGATGAGGACGATCTAAATGGCACAATTCAGCGATTAACGTCAGTTCAGACCGAGGCAAGGAGAGATCGACATACCGATAGGCGAAGGGATCGGCCCTATGTCCGAAAGGCATCAGCCCTATGTCCGAACATCTAACCCGCCCCTCCAAGACATCTGAATGTCGTGCTACGACACACCGCACCCTTCTAAACGAAAGAGGTATGCCTCCACTGTTATCTGCTCATAACTTTTGTGTTTCTTCTTTAGAGATAGTGTACGCATTGGAGAAACTAGGCACGAAGGTGCAGTGACCGCAAAAAAATGAAATCGGGCCCAAGCACCAGGAGGTCAAACATCCTCTGTGAATTCCATCAAGAAAGAGGACACAAGACCGAAGATTGCATAGGTCTGCGGCAGGAAGTAGTTAGGATGTTGAACCAGGGGTACCTGAAAGAACTGCTCAGCGATAAAGGGAGGGCCAACTTCGCCAAAGGACGCGATCCATATCAAGGACCTCCAAAGCCACCATCGCCAGCACGCACCATACATATGATCATTGGTGGTGGCGACGACATGGTAATCAACCATATGAAATTCACCACCACGCATAAACTCAAACGAATGGTCGCCCACGAATGGTATGATGACCTCGAAGACAGTATCATCTTCGATAAGTCAGATGCCAACAGTTTGTCTTTCCCTTACTATGATGCTTTGGTTATAACTTTACGCATCACTGATACAGATGTAAAAAGAATTATGGTAGAAGATGGAAGCGGCACATGTATTGTTCACCCGCAAGTCCTCATGCAAATGAGGCTTGAGGATAAAATAATACTGCATTGCATAATGGTAACGAGTTTTAACAATGCAGTAGAGCGGACATCCGGAGAAATAGTGTTGCATGTCCTAGCAGGAGGAGTCACACTGGAAATAACATTCCACGTCATGAACCAAGATACAGCCTATAATGCCATCATAGGGTGACCATGGATACACGTCATGCGAGTCGTCCCCTCAAGCTTCTATCAAGTGATCAAATTTCCCACCCCGTGGGGAATATTCAGCATCCGAGGCGAGCCACGAACCGCCAAAGAATTAGCCTATAGGATCAGTTTTGTGCAATACTTGGTAACCATCCCTAAATTGGGGTGCTACACATAGCATTAGCGCACAGATCATCATATCCTTTACAACTCGATTACCCACCCCTTAATTATTGTTACCTAAGCATTCTAATAGTATCTAGTACGTGCCTTATGTGTGCATTACCCGTCCCTTGCTTGTGGCCCTGGAGGTGTTTAGGATCCCTCAAGATTGCACACGCACCAAACAACTGAAAGGAGCAAGTGCGGAGGCATAGCAATCAGCCATGTCGGGAACTAAACCCGACCCACAAGCAGAGGCCATCAAGGACCTAAATGTCGTATAAGCCTGCAAAGAAACTATAGAGGATCTTGACCCCGTCCAATTGGATGACGTTGACAACACAAAAAAGGCTTACATAGGGCACAACCTCTCGAAGCCAGGTAAGTATCGTGAATTTTTAACTAACAACGCCGATTTGTTTGCCTTCTCCCACTCAGATATGCTAGGAATACCAAAGGACATCGCCACTTACAAACTGAATGTCGACCCACTCTATCTGCGGTATGGCAAATGAGGAGAAAGTTCAATGTTGCAAAAGTAGTCAGCAAAGAGGTGGATAAATTACTCACTAACGATTCCATCAAAGAATCAAAGTACCCCCAATAGGTCGCCAACGTGGTCATGGTCAAAAAGAAGAACGAGAAATGGCGAATGTGTGTAGACTTCACTGATCTAAACAAAGCATGCCCAAAGAATTCCTTCCCATTACCCCATATCGACCAACTAATCGATGCGACAGTGGGGCATGAATTGTTGAGCTTCTTAGATGCCTACTCTGGTTACAATCAAATCCTTTTGGCTGAAGAAGATCAAGAAAAGACGACTTTCATCACTCACCAAGGAAGTAATTGCTATAAAGTGATGTCGTTCGGACCCAAGAATGCAGGGGCCACGTACCAGAGGTTAGTCACAAGATGTTCAAAGAGCAGCTCGGAAAGACCATGGAGGTCTATATCGATGACATGCTGGTAAGTCGACAAAGAAGGAGGATCACATTAGCCATCTGAAAGAAGCCTTCGAAATATTAAGGCATTACGGGATGAAGTTAAATCCCGAGAAGTGCACCTTCGGCATAACCTCAGGAAAATTCCTCGGCTTCCTCGTATCACAAAGGGGAATCGAATTCAACCCGTATCAAATCAAAGCCATCGATACAATATCAGAGGTACTGACTAGCAAAAAACAGGTACAGAAGCTAACGGGGCAAATAGTCGCATTGTCGTGGTTCATTTCACGATCCTCGGACAGATGCCACAAATTCTTCAATGTGCTGAGAAAAGACCATGGATTACAATGGAACGAGAAATGTGTCGACGCCCTGAGAAAGCTAAAAACATATCTATATTCGCCGCCACTACTCGTCAAAGCGGACCCGAGTGAATGTCTACTTGTGTATTTGGCAGTTTCTAAAGTCGCAGGAAGTGCAGTCTTGGTCCGTGAAAATAATTTACGCAGTCTCCTATTTACTATATCATCAAAACTTTAATAGATGTCGATACAAGGTACCCTTACCTTGAAAAGCTAGCTCTGGCACTGATCGTAGCTTCACGCAAGCTTAGACCATATTTTCAATGTCACCCCATAAAAGTGGTAACGACCTTCCCCCTGAGAGGTATCCTGCACAAACCTGAACTATCAAGTAGACTTGCCAAATGGGCTATATAATTAAGCGAGCACGACATGACATACCAATCGCGAACTGCCATTAAGTCGCAGGTGCTCGCCGACTTCGTCGCTAATTTCAGCGTGGAGATGTTGCCCGAGGCAAAACAAGAAGCACTTCGCGCTCCCTCATGTACCGACCTTTGGGTCCTCTACACCGATGGAGCCTCGAATGCCTCGGGATCGAGACTGGGACTTGTCCTCAAGGTCCCTACGGGCGAAGTAATTCGCCAATCCATACTATACCCCGAGATGACTAACAACAAGGCTGAGTACGAGGCTATGATTGCAGGTTTGAAGTTAGCCCTCAAATACGGCGTCCGACGACTCG